AAACTTTTTCTTCATCTATTTCGTTCTATAAAAATCCATATATACTAGGAATATAAAAGATATGGCTTAAAATTGTAGTTTTTTTTCCTGTTAAATTGTAATGTAATTCAAACGATTCTTGAATATTTCATCATTGAAAGCAAATCGAAACTTAGTGTGCGCACAGAATAGTATTGGAGAAAATATATATATTTTGAAAAATACTTTTGAAATATTTTCAGTCTTCTTTTGTAAATGCAGAAAATCAATAGGAATTCTGTAATTCCTCTTTCTCTCTCTCTCTCTCAAGGATGATTCATATAAAAATAAAATTATAGTATATTCATGATAAAGTAGATATATATATAAAAAATATCAAAGTATGATATATTTTATATATAAAACTGGAACTTATTTATCAAAAGGGAAAAAGCCCCTTTTGTTTTTGAGGAATAATATAATTAATCTTTATAATATAATTTCAATTCAACACGGACGGACTTTTCATCCGAATGTAACTAAGATTAATATAATAATAATAATAATAATAATAATAATAATAGAAATGTAGAGATACTTACGTGAATAAAAAATTACGTCACTCTTAATTAACTCCTTAATGGAATTTTTCAAGTAATCGATATTTTTCATTAATATCAAATTTTTTAATGCTTCTCTCAATATAATTATGTGACAAAAAATTTAATATCGCACTGTTTAAAATTATCTCCTCATTTCGTTATTTTTTTAACTTAAATTTTTAATTTTAACCCTTTTGTGTCGCAAAGTGGCGAAAAATGTAATTTTTCGTTTCAAATCACTCTACAGGTCACAATTTTAAACCAAAACGATTTTTTTTTTAAATTATAAAAACGTAAAAAATATTTTTTATTAGCTTCATTAATTAAGAAAATTGATCAAAAAACCTATTAAAATAATGTTTGAGTGTTTATGATTTATAAAAAAATATAACAATTTTATAAATATATACATGAAATAAATAAATAAATTTATTAAATTGTTTAAACAATTAATTGTTATTTTTTATAAACTGTACTTAGGGCTAGAAATTATTTTTTTTCTTAGTTGTGCAATTTTTCATGAGTAAAACTTCTACTAACGATAAAAAATAAAAAATTAATTGTTTAAACAATTAATTGTTATTTTTTCATAAAGTTTATTTAGTTTTAGAAAGTTTTAGTTTTTTCTAAATTGTGAAATTTTTCACTAGAAAAACATCTACCTACTAATAATAAAAAATAAAAAATACATTAATTAAACATTTTTTAAACAATTAATTATTGTTAAATAATAAATTTTAGTTTTTCTATTATACTTAAGTATTTAATTTATAAAAAATTGCACAATTGAGAAAAAGCTAGAAACTCACAGTTTTAAGTACAGTAAATTGAAAAATTAACAAAATAAATTGTTTAAACAAAGTTTAAATAATTAATTTTTAATTTTTCTTTGATACTTGAATATTGTAGTTAAAAGAAACTGCAGAAAAAAGAAAAAAATTTTCTTGCCCTAAGTAGGTACAGTTTATAAAAAATAATTAATTGTTTAAACAATTTAATAAATTGTTATATTTTTTATAAATCAGAAACACTCAAACATTATTTTAATAGGTTTTTTGATCAATTTTCTTAATTAATGAAGCTAATAAAAAAGATTTTTTACAATTTTATGATCTTTTTAATACTTATTGTTATTAAAAAAATGTTTAAAAGCAAAAATTCAAAAATCGAGCTCGAGAGATCGATAGAGAATTTAATTAAGAAGATTTAGAAAAAAAGAAAAATCGTTTTGGTCAAAAGTTGTGACCTGTAGAGTGATTTGAAGCGAACGATTACGAATCTAAAGTCAGATTTTAAAAATTCAAAATGGTGGATCCAATATGGTGGACATTTTTTTGAAAATTGTTCAAATTCGCTTGAAACTTATTACTCGGGGGTTTTCGGGGTCGCTGATTACGAATCTGAAGTCAGATTTTAAAAATTCAAAATGGCGGATCCAATATGGCGGACATTTTTTTGAAAATTGTTCAAATTCGCTTGAAACTTATTACTCGGGGGTTTTCGGGGTCGCTGATTACGAATCTGAAGTCAGATTTTAAAAATTCAAAATGGCGGATCCAATATGGCGGACATTTTTTTGAAAATTGTTCAAATTCGCTTGAAACTTATTACTCGGGGGTTTTCGGGGTCGCTGATTACGAATATGAAGTTAGATTTTCAAAATTCAAAATTCAAAATGGAGATCCCGAAAAACCCGGAGTAACAAGTTTCAAGCGAATAAAATAAAGTAATAAATAATAATTATTAATTATAAAATTTATTTTTAATATAAATAATTTTTTTAGTAATAAAAGCGTCGTATGGAAATGTATATTATAAAGTCACACGGTTAATTTCGCGCGAATATTAGAAGAGGTCCTTTTTTATTTAAATAAAAGATCTACTCTAAATTCCTTTATGTCAACATCTTCCAAAGGCATCAATGTATTCATCATATGATACTAAATATAGATTTCTCAGGTTTACAGTTCTAACGGATCGTGGTAAAAGGAGCACTGACCTACATATTGTTGCTTGCACAAATTCTGCAACTCATATTAGAATTTTTATCATCTCTTTATACATATATATTCACTTCTATTGCACCTATACGCTAAGCGTTTAAAACTTTTACAACTCTCGCTAAACTTTAAATCTACAGTGTGAAATTATGTTCATACAAAATAATGTTTAAAGAAATAAATTATTACTGAAAAAGTTTTTTTTGACAATGAACATAGAAAATTCTAATTTGATTCAAAAAAAAGAGTTTGATAATTTTTCTTTCTTGAAATTCAATACTTTAAACAAGAAATAAGAGAAAATGAACGAATCAGAAAAAAGTGAAAATGAAAAGAAGCAAAAAATGATCGATATAACTTAATTTTTTTTTATTGTCGTGTGTGTGTGTGTGTAAAATTTGAGATTTACTTTTGGACAAACTGGGTCAGTTCTGTGAATGTTTTTTTTATAGTTCTTTTACGACTTATCCATAACTCACACGCCTTTTATTGGAAATCTTTTAAATGATGCATAAAATATCTGTATGTTATTTTTAATATTCCTTTTTTTATAATATATAAAATGATGTATGAATTAATTTTTATAATGTTTGTAAAAAAACACCTTTGGGGAAAATTTATTTTTCTGAAGGAAAAACGTTGAAGAGAAATATATTTTATATCAAAATGTGTATATATATATATATATATGAAACAGAGATAATTTTTAGTCGCTTTATCAAAAAGTGGTCAAAGGATTCATCATTCTGAATAAACGATGAAAAATGTTTGACTTCATATTTATACTGTATATGGATGAAAAATATTCAAAAATCATGCGATTGGAACATTAGGGATAATAAAATTACCAAAAATTTCTATAAATTATATTTCATTCTTTTCATAAATTTAAATAATATTGGAGTTTTTGTAAATATTCATAAGAAAAATAACTTTAAGTTTATATATTATATTTTAAATGTTTTCTTTACTATCTACTTTATTATTGACTGTGAAATATAAAAGCTACTGTATAGTAATTTTTATTATACTATATCGAATTTCAAAAGGTTTAGAATTAAAATTTGAAATTTAAATCATGAAATAATGAAGTATTTTTTTGATAATTTTTACTGAAAATTTTGAAAGTAATTGAATTTTATAAAGAATTTTATTATTTTCAATAATTGTAAATTTGTAATAAAATTCTTTTTAAAAATTCAATTATTTGTAGAAATAGGTAATACATTTTTTCGCATGGATTCAATTATTTAAAAAAGTTTTAATAAAATTCTATTCTATAATTCAATAATTTTCAGAAATAATTAAATTGTCGATGTACTGAAAATCATTGTATTCTTGTAAAGTATAATTATAAAGAAAATTTGGAAATAAATTGAATTACGTTAAAAATTTTTAAAAAATTCTCGTCAAAATTTCAATTATATTTGGAAATATTAAAATTCTTCTGCGAAATTCAATTATTTTCAAAAATTTTAATACTATTCTTGGCAAAATTTCAATTATTTTCAAAAATTTTCCTTTATTAAATGATTTTCAATATTTATTATTTTAATAAAATTTGTCAAAAGAATTCAATTATTTTGGAAAAATTTGATAAAATTCTACGCAAACAGTTAATTATTTTCATAAAATAATAAGAATTTCATAGGCATTCAATTATTTATAAATTTTTTATAAATTTCTTCGCGATCATTCAATTATTTTTATAAATAATTAAATTTTTAACGATGAGATTTAATAATTTTTGTAAATAGTAAAATTCTTTCCCAGAATTTTGTATTTTTAATACGAAATTTTAATCGAATTTCTCGAAAAATGTATAATTATTCTTCAAATTTTTATTAAAATTCGTACAAAGAAGTTAATTATTTAAAAAATTTTTGATAACATTCTTTATGAAAATTCAATTTTTAAGAAACATTCAATTATTTAATTAATTATTTATTTTTCTAATGACTCTGAGAGATCGTTAACTTCAACACATAATTTATTTATTTTTCTATTTAAATAATTGAATTCTAGTAGAATGAGTCAAAAAATGACTTTTTATATTGTATTTTTAATTTTTTCTTTACTATCTAATTTTTATTGACTATAAAATATAAAAGCTACTGTATAGTAATTTTTATTATACTATAACGAATTTTAAATGATTTGAAATTTAAATCATTTTTGGAGTAATTTAAAATATTCTTTAGGGTCCAGGACAAAATTCAAAATTCTGTCCGATCAAATCTTTACGCAACCCTGAACAATGAAAATTTTCTTTAATTATTCGTAAAAATATAAATCGTTTTTTGATAAGGAGAATAAAATTTTGATTCAAGAGGAAATAAATTTTTTTTTAATACTTCTATTAAAAGTTTATATTAAACTCGAATATAAGTTTTTATATATATTATATATGTTACTGAGTTTGATTTATTTCTTTTTACAGTACATGACGGAGAAAATGGGTGGCGCTGAGGGAACGAAACTTGACGTCGACTTTGTAGACATGGAAAGGGTGAGTATATTATTTCTCTTTTCTATATTAAAAAGAGAATTTTTCAATTTGCAGAGAAAAACTCTTTTTTTTCCCTTGATAATGAACTTGCACTCTAAGTATATAGACAACTATTTTTTTTAGCTCGTAAATTGTATATATATGTTCTTTCTCATCACAAATTCTGAACTCAAATATAAAATTAGACCTTTGAAAGAAAATATTTTTTCAATTTTTCACGCGTTTCACTTTCTATAAAAATGTATTGTAAATTCGTACAATAGAGATCTTTTATCAGAAGAAAATTTCTCAGCAATTTCTTTCAAGACCGTTTTATCGTTTCTCTGTGTAGAAAAATTTTGTTCGTTTTTCCTCAAATTTTGTATACATTCAACTTTATTTTTTTTTATTTTTTAATGTTTGTTCTTTTAAAAGAGAAAAAAAATTGTATTGGGTTGAAAAAAGTAGTCGTTTTCTTACGACACTTATTTTATTTTTGGTAATTTTTAAAATTAAACTATTTTTGGTTTTCGTAAAGCAATGGAATTTGAATTGTTTTGCTTTTTAAGAAAACGGACGTTACGTGCGAATTGGTTGAGGATCTACAAATGAAGACAAAAGAATTTCTTCAACCAAATCCCACAGCAAGAGCAAAAATGGCCGCTGTTAAGGGAATAGGAAAATTAAGTGGTCAAGCAAAGGCCTCAACTTATCCACAGCCGGAAGGAACACTCGGTGACTGTATGTTGATGTACGGAAAGAAAATGGGCGAGGACAGTATTTTCGGTGCGTTAAAACAAAAAAAACAAAAACAAAAACAATCGAAAGAAAGATGTGTTTAAAATAAAATACAAAATAAAAAATTTATAAATAATTATACAGACAATTTTATAGATAAAAAATAAACGGAATTTTAATTTTTATCATATCCGCAGCTCAATCCCTGATCGAAATGGGAGAGGCCATGAAGCAGATGGCCGATGTGAAATATTCCTTGGACGACAACATACAGCAAAACTTTCTTGAGCCTTTGCACCATCTGCAGACTAAAGACCTCAAAGAAGTTATGGTGAGATTTATTAAAAAACTTTATTCCCCCCCCCCCTTCCCCCCGTCCAGCACTTCTTTAAAGATTATCCGTGAATTTGAAATTGAATTTTGTCTTTGTTTTTATTTAAACAGCATCATCGAAAGAAACTTCAGGGAAGAAGGCTTGATTTCGATTGCAAAAGGCGACGGCAAGCGAAAGGTAACAATCATGGTAAAAGTGCAAATTTTCAATATCAAATAAATATGAAATTAATTTTTTAAAATTGATATTCAATTATTAACTTCTAGAAATATTTTATTGATCCAAAATAGCAAAAATAATTTAACAGCAATATTATTGTCTCAATATTTCTTCAATTAACCTCTTAAGTTTTCCAGTAATAAAATTTTCAGTGTAAGCTTGCTTACGCAAATATAGCAAAATATAGCAAAATGGCCTCAGGTTTGTAATATTGAGACAATATTGTGACAATATTGGGGTAATACTGTAACAATATTGGGGTAATACTGTGTCAATATTGAGGAAACATTGCAACTCAAAATTTAGATAATTTTGCATGAGAATGTTAAGGTAGAAGTTGCACCGAAACATTTATGAGAATATTGCAGCAGTATTAGAATATTGAGTGGGAATGTTGCCGCAGTATTGCACACAAAAATATTTCCTGTAAGCTAGAACCGGAAATTTAAATAAAAATTATTCTGAAATCTCAAATTGGAGGCGTCTCTGAATATTTAAAAAAAAAAAAGAAAATAACTCACCGACAAAATCAGGAAAATGTCTGTAAAACAAAATTTTTGTCAGTAAATTCAGGGAAATGTCAGGGAACAAATTTTTTGTCAGAAAAATTTAGAAAATTGAGATTTTTTTCAAATTATTTTTAAAAAATTGCGACTTTTTCGACTCTTTTTCCAAATATTACAAGAAAATATTACATAATATTTTTTAGTATTTAAATGTAACTCATTTCGATTTTTATAGTGCAAAAAATAACTTTAAAAAAACTTTCAAAAATTATTTTTCTATTTTTCTATTTAAATTTTCATATTATACAATTAAAAAGATTTTGAATAAATGAAATTTTGTAAAATTTAATTGAAAATAATTGATTTTTTTCAAGTATTATTAAAATTTTTGAAAATTAACTTTTGAAGGATTTTTAATTGCAAATTTTCAAAATAGTTTAATTATCTAAAATTTTAATATGAAATATCTTTAAACGTAAATTTGAAAATGAAAATTGAAAATTAATGAAAATTAGCATCTAACTTTTTAAAATTTACTATTTTCAGTACTTTCATAATTACATATTTCCGAAAATTCAAATACATACAAAAAATAATAAAATTTTAAAATTATTTTTAACATTTTGGAGAAAAAAATAATGTTCAAAATATTTCCTTAAAATCCATCTATAAAAATTAGTAATTAGTTTTTTTAAATAATACAAAAACTCTTTTAAGAAATTCAATTGTTTTACGTAATTTAGAAATTTGAGATTTTTTTCGACTTATTTTCAAAAATTGAGACTTTTACGACTTTTCTTAGAAAATATTGCAGGAAAATATATTTTTTTAGTATTAAATGCAACTCATTTCGATTTTTACAGTGCGAAAAATAACTTTAAAAAATCTTTAAAAATTATTTTTCTATTTCTTTATTTAAATTTTCGTAATATACAATTCAAAAAGATTTTGAATAATTGAAATTTTCTAAAATGTAATTGAAAAGAAATAAGTTTTCTTTAAAGTATTTTATTAGAATTTTTAAAAATCAAGAAGAATTTAATTGCAAATTTTCAAAATAATTGAATTATCAAAAATTTTAATGTGAAATATCTTTAAACGTAAATTTAAAAATGAAAATTAGCTTCTAAGTTTTTTAAAATTTACTACTTTCAGTACTTTCAATTACATATTTCCGAAAATTCAAATATACATACAAAAAACAATACAATTTTAGAAATTTTTAACATTTTGGAGAAAAAAATTATGTTTAAAATATTTCATTTAAATTCACATAAAGATTAATTAGTTTTTTTTAAAAATAATACAAAAATTCTCAAGGGAGGCCTCTAGGGTTAAAATTTACAAAGAATCACACTTTGTAAGACTATTTAAAATTTGGTTCAAGCAAACCATGTTCGCACAATATTGCCTATACAAACAAAATTTTATTTATGCTATTTGGATACATTTTTTATCCAGAATATTAATATCGTAGTATTTTTTTAAACAGTTATCTTTATATTAATATTTTTATTGTTACCGATCAAAATTTAATTCATTATTGCTGGTTTAAATTTATAAAATTTAAAAATCTAAATTTATAAAATTTAAAAAGATTTAAATTTACAAAATTTAAAAAATTTAAATTTATAAAATTTACAAAATTTAAATTTACAAAATTTAAAAAATTTAAATTTACAAAATTTAAAAAATTTAAATTTATAAAATTTAAAAATTTAAATTTATCAAATTTGAAAATTTAAAAATTCAAATTTATAAAATTTATAAAATTTAAAAATTTCAACTTATAAAATTTAAAAATTAAAAAATTTCAACTTATAAAATTTAAAAATTTAAAAATTTTAATTTATAAAATTAAAAAAAAAACTATTTATTTTTCGTTAAGAACTAATTTTCAAAAATTCAATAAAACCAAAAAAAAAAAAATTTTATAGAGAATTGTTTTGTTAATATTATCTTTCATAGAAGAGATTTCAATATTATTTTACAGAGAAGAGTGAAAAGTAGTTTGGTTTTTATAATTAATGCTTTTGGCATGTTTCGCATGCGAAATTTGAGAAAAATTAGAAGAAAAATGTATGGAAATACTTTTTTTTGTTTATGATTTGCCATTTTTTTATTATTAATATCCTCTCTCTCTCTCTCTCTCTTTCTCTCTACATATATATATACTTCTAATAAGAGCGCATGAATTTTTCTTTCCTTGTGATTGAAATTTTTTTTTTTCGATAGATTCTCGATGCTTTTTTATATATATTCTAAAAGATAGATTGATGTGCTTTTTTCTTCTTTTGTTCGCTGCGGTTTTGGTTGGAATATATTAGCCGCAGGAAAGATGTCATCCAGTCCACACTTTGGAAGCCCCGCAAGGGCAAATCCTTCACATTATGTTGGTACGTGGACATCACCACGTACTAAACTTTTATTCATTAAAACATTATTATCATCATACTATATGTTAATTTCTCAGAGGCATTCTTTTCATTAGAATTTTTTAATTTTTCACATACTTTTTATATATTGCTTTTATTTTATTTTCATTTTTATTTTCACTTTTGTTTGGAATTCATTATTTTTAAAAACTACTTGTTTTTGAAAATGAAAAACTTTCTTTGTTCCTATTTTCTGAAGGTAGAAAAAAAACTTTTTCTCCCGCAGAGTATTAATATTAGAATTATATATTTTTAATACAATTTTTTATGAATATCGCTTAATTATCCTATTTGGAGAAGAAAATTTATAATATACCGTTTTTGACAATAATTTATTCTCTCGGTTCTGGTTATTTTTTATAATTTGTTTTTAAGTGCATATTAATTGCTAATGCTTCTCTATTTTATATTCAATGTTGTCATATATTTGACATAATCCCATTTTGGTTATATATGCAATATTTGTCGATTAATATGTATTTAATATCGTAAAATATAGTATTATATATATTGTACACTTGAATTTTAAATTCTAAAAGTTTAATATTATATGGCAATATTTGATACTTGGCAATGAGTTTATCATATGAATTGGAGTGAGTATATCTATCAAATATAAAAATATTCATTTCCTGCTGGGTATTTCCATCAGTCTGCAAATAAATTTTTGCATGAATGCTCGTAAAAATTTTTTTAGGAAATTCTTTAGATTTATTATCTCCAAAATGTGTATTTTATTTTGGATATTTATATTTTTTTTCTGCTTGTGGCTTAATTCACTATAATATACTAACACTATCAGAAACACTTTTTTTTCCATAAAAAAACTTTCAATTTTCTCACTTCCAGATAGCACGTAATCTTTCAGCAATCTTGCAGCAATTTTTCTGGAAGCTTGCTGCAACATTATGTGCTATCTGGTCTCATAATTAACAAAATTATTAACAAGAACTAAATATTAAAAGTTTTTGTACAAATTCAATTATTTTTTTATTAACAAAATTTTAAGAAAATTTCACGAAATAATTCAATTATTTTCTAAAATTTTAATAAATCATTCTAAACAATTCAATTATTTTTATAAATAGTAAAACTCTTTGCTCGAATTCAATTATTTTCAAAACAATTTTAATTGAATTACTCGGAGGAAATCAATTTCTAAAAAAAAATTTTAATATATTTCGAATAAATTCAATTATTTTCTAAAATCTAAATTAAAAATTAATCTAAAAATTAATTAATTAAATTAATATAAATTCTAAATTATTTTTCAAAAATTATTTTCTTAGTAAATCCTTCGAAAAATTCAATTATTTTTATAAATAGTAAAATTTTCCGCAATAATTCAATTATTATTTTTATAAATAGTAAAATTTTTTGCAGGAATTCAATTATTTTCAAAACAATTTTAATTGAATTCTTCAGAAGAATTCAAATATTTTTAAATATTTCCATAAAATTCAATTAGGTATTATTTCCTAAAATTTTAATAAATTTTTCAAAACAACTCAATTATTTTTATAAATACTAAAATTTTTTGCAGGAATTAAATTGCTTTTAATACAATTTAAATAAAGATGCAGAAAAGAATTTAAATCTTTTCAAAAATTTCCATAAAACTCAATTTCAACAAGAATTTTAAATTTTCTAAAAATAATATTAAATTATTCTCAAAATATTTTAAGAAAATTCTATTTAAAAATTAAATTAGTTTCAATGCAATCTGAAAAATTTCAATTTTTAAATATATTCGTCAAACAAAATTGAAAGAATTTAATTATTTTAAAAAAATAATAATAATCTTCTGATGAATTCAATTATTTTGAATATAGGTACCTAATTTTAATAAAATTTTATAAAATTTAATAAAATTTAAATTATAATATTTTAATAAAATATTTTTGAAACAACTTTGAATTTTTCGAAAGAATTTAATTATTTTCAAATATTAACATTCAAATTCATTTATTTCTTAAAATTTTAATAAATTCTTCGGAAAAATTCAATTATTTTTAAAAATAGTAAAATTTTTAGCAGGAATAAAATTATTTTTATAAATAATAAAATTCTTCTCAGAAATTCAATTATTTTCAATACAATTTTTAATAAAATTCAATTACTTTTTTAAAATTTTCAATTAAAATTATTAAAAAAACTCTATTATCTTAAAAAAATTAAAAGAAATTCTTCAAAAGAATTTAATTAAGATTTTAAAAAACTATTTAACAAAATTCTTCACGAGAATTTAATTATTTTCATAAATAAAAAAATTTCTTGAAGGAATACAACGATTATTAATATACAAAAAAGGCAGAAAATTTTGATTATTAATATAGATTTTTCATAATTTTCGAAAAAGTTCTTTGACAATTTTCAAATCCATTTGTTTACAATATTCAATTTTGCGAAATTTCAATTCTTCGTAAATTCTTCCATTAAATATATATTAGAAAATAAAAACTTTAAATAATTTAAAAAAAATCCGCAATTACAATTAAACTTTTTCAAAAAAATTTATTTCAAAATTCAATGATTCGTTAAAATTCACGCTATATTGCTTTTAATATTCAATTATTTATCTATAATTTTAACTGAAATTCATTTTTATGAAATGAAAATCAATTTTTATTAGAAAATTCTACTAGAATTCAATTATTTCAAATTACAAAAATAAATAATTTATTGAATAATTGAATGTTTCTTAAAATTCAATTTTCATAAAGAATTTTATCAACAAATTTTTAATTAATTAAATTCTGAGAACGAATTTTTTCGAGAAATTCAATTAAAATTGTAGGTAAAAATAATTGAAATTCTGCAATGAGTTTTATTATTTATAAAGATAATTGACTTTCTAAAAAGAATTTCATTATTTACGAAAATAATTGAATCCCTGTAAAAATGTTATTATTTATGAAAATAATTGAATAATTGCAAAGAAATTTATAAAAAAAATTTGTAAATAATTGAATTCCTGTTAAATTTTTTTTATTTTATAAAAATAATTAAATGTCTGCGTAGAATTTTATCAAAATTTTTTTTAAATAATTGAATTCTTTAGCAATATTTTATTAAAATAATAAATATTGAAAAATATTTAATGGAGGACAAATTATTTGATAATAATTGAAATTTTGCCAAGAATTTTTGAAAAAATTTTTAAAAATAATTGAATTTTGGATTCTGCAATCATTTGTAATTTCTCTAAAATTCTCCATATTATATCGTACAATTTACGACCTTTTCGCCCTTTTTCTATCAAATTACGAACTTTACTAATTAATTAATATTTCAAAAAGTATATTTTCTTTCTATTTTGTATTCATTGTTTTTATCTGTGCTTTTAAGAACGGCAAATATTGTTTTTATGCGAAAATTCATTAAAGCTTTCTGTGAGACTAATTTTTTGAAATTAATTCAAGATGTTAAAATTAGAATCACTATAATATAATAATATTATGCATCGACAGCTTTTGTTCGTAATTGCATATACATAATTACTATATATGCATATCTACTTTTCACACTTACACTAATTAATTCAAAGAATTCATTCTATTATTTCTGTCCGTAAATACTGGATTTTATTTTTTTTTCTGATTTTCTATTCTTTCTAACCACGATTCACAATTTATAAAACAATATGTGAAAAAAATTTATTTTAAACAGAAAATTTTAAAAAATCGAAACAAAAACAAAATACAAACAAAAAAAATGTGAAAAGAAAGAAATAAAAGAGCAGAAAACACAAACAAAGCACAGAATACTACGTAAATTATTGTCACTTGTGCTAGTTTTAAAAATTAGATTTAAGTTTATTTTCAGAGAATGCAACCCGTAGTGCATCCTTTTTAATTTTTTCTATGACGCAACATTTGCGTACAGGTTCTCACGTTTCAGACGACGAAATTCGTATGGCCGAGGAGAAGTTCGCCGAAAGTCTTCATTTGGCTCAAATGGGCATGTTTAATTTACTAGAAAATGATGTAAGTTCTTTTCTTTTGATTTAAAGAAAATTAGAAAATATTTTTTGCAATTACAATTTATTCGAAAAAAAAAATAAAAAAAGAAAATTTTAAGGCCATGCTGAAGTTAACTAGCGCCTTAACATTGATAGTGGTACACGGAAAAAAGAGATTAAGTAACTTTTACTGAACTTTCACAGTAATACCAAAAATTTCAGGAATTTATGCGAATTTGTATAGCAACTTTTACTAAATTCGAAGTAAATTTTGCTACGTTCGATGCAAATTTTACTAATTTTCCCAAAAAAGTACTTCGAGCGTAATAAAATTCACTTTTAAAATCGTAAAATTTGACAGAAATTAGCAGAAGTTCGAGACAGTTTAGAATTTTAGATTTTACTTTGTAAACAGTAAAAGTTATTTAAAAAAAGTTAAAAAAAAAAGTCATTAAAAAAAAAAATTAAAAAAGTTATTAAAAAAGTTATTTTTTTCCTGGTAAGCACTTTGTTGATAATTTTCAGCGTGAACTTAATTTTTTTCAGTATATATTCTAAGAAATAATTTTTTTTATATATTTATGACAATTTTCATTAAATGAAATACTTTAGACTTAATATTTTTGTATATATATATATATATATATATATATATATTAAAAAAGATGAAAAGGAAAAATCATGAAAAACTGTTTTTCTCTTCATTTTAAAAGGTCGAACAAGTGGCACAATTAGCAACATTCAGCGAAGGCCTTCTTGAGTATCATCAACAGTGCGTCGAAGTTCTGAGGGTATTAACCGAAACACTCTTGGAAAAGTACGTAAATTACTTATATGCAATTTGAATAAAATTATTAAACGACAAATGTTTCCAACTCAGTAGAAAATTTATGGAATAAATTTTTGTTTTTGACTCTAAAACCTAATTTATCTAATTATTCTAATTTCACGTAACATTATAATAAAAAATACATTAAATTTTCTCAATTGCAAATATGAAAATGAAAAAATTTAATGTATTTTTTATTTATAAATTAATTTATGAGTTATAAATTATAAATTATAAAATAATTTTTTAATTATAAATTATAAATTAATTTATTAATTATAAATTATAAATTTATTCATAAATTTGGGAACAGTTTTTAAAAATGATTTCAATATGGCGGATGAAAAAATAAAAATATTCCTTAAAATTGACGTAATAGTTTTAGTAATTCGATATTTAATAATTAAATAATTAATTTAATAAATTAATACCTAATAATTTAATAATTTCAATAAAAATTCCTTATTTTAAAAAATTGAAGCGATGAAAATAATCGAAAATTTAAAAATCAACAGGAAAGACGAGGCGGCGAACCGTCCGAAAATGAATTTCGTACCAAAAACGTTAGCCGACCTCCACGTGGACACAGTTTCTTCCGAAGGGATCAATGGTGGGAATTTCTTACTTCACGGTAAAACACACATTACAAACACAATATATTATATTATATTACATAAACAATATTAAATAATTATTATTTGAAATTTTTTTGGGGCTGACTGTCTAATCGTTTCTCTCATATTTTCTAATGCAACCTCTGCGTGTGCTGCAAAGACTGATGGTTACTTTGCCTATATCTTTATATATATTATGTATATTTACACATTCTATTTGTCGTTTTTTTTAAACCTACTTTAAAAAAAAAAAAAAAAAAGAGTAAAAAATAAAATGATAATGTTAGACTTTTTCTTTTAATCTATATATATGTATGTTATACATTTTCACTAACACAAAAAACTAACAAAATTTCTGTTTTTATTAACCAAATAATATGTAAAATTATATTATTAAAGGTTATGCTGCACCCAGAGAAAATATATATTTGACTCAGAGCCAACTAGAATTTTTATTTGTTTGAAATAAATTTTATTTGGTTGATATAAAATTTTAATTGATTCAAATAAATTTTATTTGGTTCAAATAAATTTGAATTGTCTCAAATAAATTTTATTTGGTTGAAATAACATTTTATTTGGTTAAAATAAAATTTTATTTGATTCAAATAAATTTTATTTGGTTGATATAAAATTTTAATTGATTCAAATAAATTTTATTTGGTTTAAATAAAATTTTACTTGGCTCAAATAAATTTTATTTGGTATTTTATTTAGTTCAAATAAAATTTTACTTGGTTCAAATAAATTTTACTTGGCTGAAATAAATTTGATTTCGTATTTTATTTGGTTCAAATAAATTTTAATTGGATTAAATAAATCTTATTTGGTTCAAATAAATTTTATGTGGTTCAAATAAATTTTATTTTGTTCAAATAAAATTTTACTTGGCTCAAATAAATTGTATTTGGTATTTTATTTGGTTCACATAAATTTTATTTTGGCATTCTACTTGGTTCAAATAAAATTTTACTTGGTTCAAATAGAATTTTACTTGGCTCAAATAAATTTTATTTGATGCAAATAAATTTTATTTGAACCAAATAAAATTTTACTTGGTTCAAATAAATTTTAATTGGCTCAAATAAATTTTATTTGGTTCAAATAAATTTTATGTGGTTCAAATAAATTTTATTTGGTTCAAATAAAATTTTACATGGCTCAAATAAATTTTATTTGATATTTTATTTGGTTCACATAAATTTTATTTTCGCATTTTATTTGGTTCAAATAAATTTTATTTGGTTCGAATAGAATTTTACTTGGCTCAAATAAATTTTATTTGATGCAAATAAATTTTATTTGAACCAAATATAATTTTACTTGGCTCAAATAAATTTTATTTGGTATTTTATTTGGTTCAAATAAAATTTTACTTGTCTCAAATAAATTTTATTTGGCATTTATTTAGTTCAAATAAATTTTATTTGGCATTTATTTGGTTCAAATAAAATTTTACTTGGCTCAAAGAAATTTTATTTGGCTCAAACATTTTTTATTTGTATTAAAGGTGTGATAAATTCACTTTCTATAATTTTTTATTTATGTCTAATAAGATTTTTATTCAAAACAAATAAATAACCTAATTGGCTCTGAGACAAATATTATACATTTATTTAACACAAATAAAATATATTTGGTTTAAATAAAATTTTTCTCTGGTTGTATTTTCGGGTTAATATTAATTGGTGTTAGTAATTAACCAAAAATTTTTCCAAAAAATTGTTATTCTCTTTAAATTATTTAAATATTAACCGAATTTCGAGTCAAGGGGTGGTACATAGACACATTTTTTTATTCGTAAATAAATTTTTTTTAATGGATTTATGGATTCAAAAGATTAACGATTTTACCTTTGAAAATATTCCTCAAATCATCATAAAGTTTTTCAATCTAAAATTTTTTATCGATTATCAAACAATTTATAATATTGCAAGAAGGGGAGGGGGGGAGGAAATAGTACATTTTTCTAAAAGATTGCAAGAAAGAGGGGGAGAGGGGGCAACAATAGTAAATTTTTCCAAAATATTGCAAGAAAGGGAGGGGAGGGGTCAGGAATAGTAAAATTTTCTAACAAATTGCAAAAAAAAGGTGGGGGGAGTAGTAAATTTTTTCTAAAAAATGATTTTTGTTTGGTTAAGAAACATTTTTTTTTTTTTTTTTTTGAATGAAAAAAAAACATTTCTCAAACACAAGACACCTATTGATATATAAATAAATTATCGAGATTGATCAGTGTGTAATTGTTGGAAACTTGAATGTCTCTCCTTCTGACCCATCTTAGGGGCAAGTCGAGCCGGGTCTCCGGTCTCTGGAGAAGAGAAGCGCTCACAACTCGAGCTTTTTCCAGCCGGAAACCCGCCGCAGTCTGCCAATGGTAAATTCTGCATGGGGTTCAATTGTTTCATTAAATAGTAAACAAAAAGAAAAAAAATTTTTTTTTTTAATTCCTCTTTATTTACAATTTTTTTTTTGGCACTTTTCAATTTTTTTAATACACGAAGAAAAATATAGACTAATTTTTACTATTTACAAAGTGAAATCAAAACTGTTTGGAACTTCTGCGTATTTCTGTTAAATTTTACTATTTTCAAAGTTAATTTTGTTGCGCTCGAAGTACACTAATTTTTAGAAAAAATGTACTAGGATCGTAGCAATTTTGACTTCGAAGTCTCTAAATTTGAATTAGTAAATATGTTTACTAATTTGACTTAGCGACTGACTTTTCGCTTTTGAATTAGTAAATTTTACTAATAAATTAGTAGAAATTACTATATTTATAGTAATGTTTATAAGCAAAAAGTCATTCACTAATTTATAATAAATATTAGTAAACATGTCTACTAATTCAAATTTAGAGAGCAAATAGTAAAAATTGCCAAAAATGCGAAGAAGTTTCTGTCAGTGTAAGCTTTACTTTGAAAATAGTAAAAGTTACTTTATTCGTTTTTTCCGTGTAGAGAAATTTTTCTTTAAAAATTATTAATTAAATCCGAATTCAAATGTTTCGAAATTGATAAATTCTAATTTCTTTATGCAACTAAATTTTTTCTATGCTGTAAATTTTTTTTATATTTGTGACACGCTCCGTAGAAAGGTATCTATGAAGCAACAAGTTTTAGGTTATGTTTGTAATTTTTTGAAGAAAAATACACAGAGGGGATGAACTCTGATTTAAAAAAAACTGATGTCTAAGTCTTCTTTGCATCTAAAATAATTTATAAATTAACTAATTTTAGTTTTAAATTAAACAAAGAAATTTTTAATTACGGTAAAAGCAACAAACATAACCTTAAAATAATTTTAGTTTTAAATTAACCAAAGAAACTTTTAATTACGGTAAAAGTAACAAACATAACCTTAAAATAATTTGCCTCTTAGGTACCTTTCTTCAAAGCGCGTCACATTTATAACAATTTATAAAAACAAATCTCATATTTAAAATTTCGAAACATTGGACTCTATTAGTTAATTTAAAGAAATTTTTCTCTTTAATTACAGTTTTTTCGAAAAAAATTTTTTAATAGGCCATTTGCTATTTTATCAAGAAAAAAATCTAAAGCGCACCATTTATCAGTATGCTAATTCCCTATTCTTCATTTGCCCCTTTTCTTTTGTTGCTTCTTCCCTTACTGCTTTTGTGTATCTTTTAGTCGTGATTAACTCTAAATTTAACTTTTTATCTGTATGCAAATGAAATTTTTCTCACCTTCTATAGTTATTTAGTTTCTTAAGAATTATTTCTGTTCCAAGGATTTCAAATTTCAATGCTGTTAATTCTTATAATTTGCTGATTAATTAATATTTAATTAATATTTAAAAAATATTTAATTAATATTTAATTAGTAAAATTATCAAGTAATGTAGTGTAATGTAATGTAGATGAAAATTTATTTGAAAAATTTCTTTCTGGTAAAATGTAGAAAGTTCTTGAAACTTATATAAATGAAAGTTTTCGCGTATTCTGAACTTAATTGTTAAAAGTTTCGCGAAACTTGGGGAAAGTGTCATGCAAAATTGGTATATGTAATGAAATTTCATCTTTGCAGCTTCTCCCTTGCCATCGCCAAGTAAATCTCCAGCTAGGACACCAATGGCCAAACAGCCATGTTGCACGGCGCTCTATGATTTTGAGCCGGAAAATGCTGGAGAACTTGGATTCAAGGTAAATGTGCATTTTCAATTATTGAGAAAATATTTTTATTGTTTTTATTATCAATATTACAATTACAATTAATAATATTTTTTATATTTATTATTATTATTATTTTATTTAAAATACTGAAAATTCTAAAACAAAATAAAATTTTTTGTTAATGTTATTAACAATTTAATTTTTTTGTAGTCTTGAATAAAAAATTTTTTTTTTCGCGCTCAAGTTAATCGATTTAAAAATAAAAAAAATTGGAAAAATTAAAAATACGAGTGAACAAAAGATAATACATTGTATATAATCGAAGTTTAATTTCATACGAAATGGAAACAATTTTCATTTCTCAAAAGAGCTTTGACAAAACTTTTGCCACAAGTAATCAGAGTTATATAGGTATTAAGTTTGTTTTACTGAATAGTAATTTAAAGTTTTCTTATACATTACAGTTTTGACCTGAAAATGATATCAAGAAAGTTCTTGGTATGCGAGAATAAATTTTAAAAACAGACACAATATGGCAAAATGGAAAATAAAATTAAACTTTCTTATTAAAACGACAAACAAGAAATTATAATGAAATAATATGAATATATTTAATAATCTCTGGCTGAAATTATTTTGACTACTTTTTGCAGAATTACACAAATTTAAACTTCTTGTCTGACTAAAATTTACTTTTACTACTGAAAACAAAATAATTGGTCAAATTTTTAAGATGACGTCTGACTAAAAATATTTTTACTACTTAAGGGAGAATAACATGAATTTTGATTTGTGCCTGACTGATAATTACCTTTACTACTAAAACTATATTTTTACTGTCGATATTTGACAGAATAAATTAACAACATTTTGAATATAATGACGTCTGACTAAAATTTTTTTTCACCACTGAAGGGAGAATAACACAAAATTAAATTTCTTTTCTACAAAAATATTTACTTTTACAACTCAAATCATATTTTTACTGCTTATAATTTACCTAATAATTGATAGTTTTTTCAAAATGACGTCTGACTAAAAATACTTTTTCTACTTAAAAAAGAATAACATAAATTTTACTTTGTGTCTCACTAAAATTTACCTTTTCTACTGAAATCTAATTTTTATTACTAATATTTGACCGAATAATAATTGACAGCAGTTTTTAAAACTACGTCTAACTAAAAATGATTTTACTACTTATAAGGAAACATAAACCAAAATTTGAGTTTGTGTCTGACTGAAATTTACTGTTACTACTGAGATCCGTGGTTTTACAAGTAATAATAAACCTAATAATTGGTCTAATTTTTAAGATGACGTCTGACCAAAATTGTTATACTTAAGGGAGAATTACATAAATTTTAATTTGTGTCTGACTAATAATTACCTTTACTACTGCAACTATATTTTTATTGATAGATTTTCCTAATATTTTTCGAAAAAAATCAATTATTTAAAACTAGATTTTTATAAAATTCTTCGCAAAAATTCAATTATTTTTATAAATAATAAAATTCTTCTCAGGAATTTAAATATTTTTAAAAATTTTAATAATAATCGTTGGAAGAATTCAATTATTTTTATAAATTTGTTATAATTTATTTCTTAGAGTATAATAATTATTTTCAATTCATTTTTAATAACATTTCTTGAATGAATTTAATTATAATAAAAAATTTTAATGCAATTCTTCGTAAAAATTCAATTATTTTAAAAAATGTTGATAAAGTTCTTTATAAGAATTCAAATTTGAAAAATATTCAATTATTCAATAAGTTATTTATTTTTTATTAAAATAATTGAATTCTCGTAGAACTTTCTAATAAGAATTAATTTAGAATTGAATAAAATAAACTGATTATTTTTTTTGAATAATTTTATGTATTTATAAATTTAAAGAAAAAAATGATTGAATTTTGAAAGAATTACTTTTGTAATTTTTAGAAGTAGTTCAGTTTAAAAAAACGTTACATTAAAATCATTTGAAATATTTTTACTCCTGTAGACAAAATAAATAGGTATTTAAATATTTATTTCAATTTTTTTTCTATTTTTGAATGTAATTAAGAAATTTTAAAAAAATTGAGTCGTTTAATTTTTAAGTTTAATTTTTCGATAACTACTTTTTTTTACTACTTTTTTCCGTTTTTTAACAACTTTTTGCTATTTTTTAAAAATTTATTATCGAGCACGAAGCCTGAAAATGAAAAAAAAAACAGTTATAATGCTTTAAGTAGAAAAATAAAAATTTAGTCAGACGTCATTTTAAAAAATTTATTAATTATTGAGTGAATTATAAGAAGTAAAAATATGATTTAAGTAGTAAAAGTAAATTTTAGTCAGACAAGAGATTTAATTTTGTGTTGTTTTTCCTTAAGTAGTAGAAGGAATTTCAGTTAGACGTCATTATATCAAAAATGTTGTAAAGTTATTCTATCAATTATCATCAGTAAAAATATAGTTTAAGTAGTAAAGGTAACTATTAGTCAGACAGAAAATAAAATTTATAATTCCCTTTTAAGTAGTATAAACATTCTTGTTCAGACGTCATCTTAAAAATTTGAACAATAATTTGGTATATATTTTCATAATACAACGGATTTAAGTAGTAAAAGTAAATTTTAGTCAGACAAGAAGTTTAAATTTAAGTAGTAAAAAAAGTTTCAGTTGGAGGTTATTAAGTATATTCAATTATATATTCCACAAATTATTAGTATTAAAACTATAATTTCAGTAGTAATAGTAAATTTCAGTCAGACACAAGCTAACAATTTTTTATATTTCCTTATAAGTAGTAAAAACATATTTAGTCAGACGTATTTAAAACAAAGTTATGAATTATTGAGTGAGTTATAATTAGTAAAAATATTATTTGAGTAGTAAAAGTAAATATTTACGTCGACAAGAAATATAATTTTGTGTTATTCTCCTTTAAGTAGTAAAAAAAATTCTAGTCAGACGTCATTATATCAAAAATTTTGTTAATTTATTCTATCAATTATCATCAGTAAAAATATAGTTTCAGTAGTAAAGGTAATTATTAGTCAGACACAAATAAAAATTCATGTTATTCTCCCTTAAGTAGTAAAAACAGTTTTGATCAGACGTTATCTTGAAAATTTGGCCAATTATTCGGTTTACTGTTTTAATAATAAAACTACGGATTTCAGTAGTGAAAGTAAATTTTAGTCAGACAAGAAGTTTAAATTTAAGTAGTAAAAAAAGTTTCAGTTGGAGGTTATTAAGTATATTCAATTATATATTCCACAAGTTATTAGTAATAAAACTGATTTTTCAGTAGTAACAGTAAATTTCAGTCAGACAAACTAAAATTTTTAATTATTTTTTCTTATAAGTAGTAAAAACATTTTTGGTTAGACGTAATTTTAAAAAATCGGTCAATTTATCCGTCAATTATTATAGTAATGAAAATAAGATTTCAGTAGTAACGGTAAATTTTAGTGAGACATTTTTTTAATTGCTACTTTTTTACTAATTTTTTCCTACCTTTAATCTACTTTTTGCTACTTTTTTAAAATTAATTATCGAGTGCGAAGCTTATAATAATAATAATAATAATAATAATAGTAATAATAATAATTTGATTAAAATTCATCAAATTAAAAAAATCCCAAAGACAAAAATTAAAATAAATTTTCATTTACTTCTGTTTTAGGAGAACGACACTATCACTTTGATCCAAAAAGTCGACGACAATTGGTTCGAGGGCACTGTGAATGGTCGCACGGGTTATTTTCCTGTGTCTTATGTACAGGTGGTGGTGCCTTTACCATAAAAGAGCACTGGCTATTTAGAAGCCAAAGAGTCTGCGTTCGTTCATTCGCGTCTATCACAAGAAAAAAAAAAGAAACTTATACCTATATACAAAGCTCCTAATCTAGACCTTATTAAACACTTTGACTTATGTTATCTTTTAAAAATGAAAGAAAAAAAAAGCTTCCTACGTTACGATCCCGAGTTAAATATTCCACGAATAACCTCTATACGCATGTTAATGTACATAAATATGTAATAACGTTATAATCTTTTATAGACGTAAGATTACTATATTCACGCGCAGGCACATTGACACATTTACAAAGAAAAAAGAAACAAAAAGAAGGGTTTTAATATTTCAACAAAAAAAAAAAAAATATAAGTTTCACCCTTTTAATCGTAAATTATTACAACGTAATATACATGTAAATCACGACGCAAATTCGTTATAAATAGTGAATTTTAATTTGTTTTATTTTCTATTTTTTATCAATCGAGTGACTATCATCTGATCATGAAAAAAAAAATGAAATTGATTCAGAATCGTTCGAATATTAATAAATTAATAAATTTTTGATTTTTTCTAATATTTTCCATGTTTTTAAAGGTAAAGAAATTCGTTAATAAGTATAGAAAAATATTGACGCAATATTGTTGAGAAATTTATACGGATAAATATTCTTAAATGTTACTGTGCAATATTTAGAATGTTATCGCGGAAAATTTATTGAAAGGCAATATTTAGCGGCGATAATTTTATTCTATTTGAAAAATAATAAAAAAAATTTGAACGATTTTGTATCCTTATGTAGATTGCACAAAAAAAATAAATCTCCGTAGACGTAAGACCCCCTAAAAACTGACTGGACGAAGATTTTATTCACTAGAAAATATTGTAATTTCGCTTTAAAAAAAAAAAATGTTTGTACATTTTCAATTCGACATTCAAAAATCTCTTCGTCTAATTTTTTTTTCTTAATGAGTACAACATTTTTTCTCTTTTTTTTTGTGCAATTTTCCGAATATTGAATATTTCTGTAAAATATTCTGAGACTTGGACAGAAATATGAAAATCAATTGTTTTATGTTGTGCTAATTAGGAGATATTTTCGTTTAATTTCCCCTACTCACGCACATTGTTATAGCAATCATTCGTCATTTGTTAAAAATACTGTTATGAATTGTTGCGTTACTCTGTCGATATTTGTATTATATAGCAATTTATTCATTCCTTCACAAGACTTTCCATTTTTAGATTGTATTGTCATTTTTTTTTTTTTTTTTTTTTTTTTTTTTTTTTTTTCAATGATTTTTAAAGACATTTTAGAAGGAATTAGATTTAATTTATAAGAAATCGAATGGCGGCGAATCTCTTCCACGAAGTCGGCGAATTGCTGGCATTCTATGGACGGAAAATTTTTTGTACAGAATGGCCTAAAAAAAAAATAATTTTCTTGATTTTTAATTAAATTGTACGCCGAAAAATTCGTTTCTTTTTAGAAATAATTTTTCTATAAATTCTATTTAGTAGAATATTTTTTATTGTTTAATTTTCGAAACAATATTATTTATAATATCGAAAAATAAATTTTTTTTTCTGAAAATTTTTTTGTAAATAACAGGAAGCAATGTATAAAAAAAAATTAAAATTCTGTTTACAAAAAAAAAAAAAAACGAGAGAGAGAATAAAACAAAAATGGCCGATTTTTCAATGCCTTTGTGTCGTTTTGTCGCGACAAAATTTCTTTACATTAAAGAAAAAAAAAATGCATCAAAGTGCCGAATTAGTTTTCTTGTCCTTATTGACTTTGTACAAGAGAGTTGAACCGCCAGAAAAAAATGAAAGTAATTAAGGAACTTGATCATTCGTTGCCACGATGTATAGGCACATCTAGTGCTATGAGATTAAATCGTAATTTACTTAGGGTAAATGTATATCTATAGCAAAAAAAAAAAAAAATCGCGTATCGTTTAATTTAGGAGAACAAAAAAAAAAAATTAAAAAACGATGACGGCGACAATGACGACGAAAAAACTGATTTATCATTAGCGTTTATCATTATGATTATTATTGCTCTAAAAGGAAGAAATTAAAAAAAAAAATTTCTTGCATTGATTATTTACACGAATAATTATTATTGACAAAAGATCTGCATTATATACAACTGCCGGTGTGATAATAATATATAAAAATAAAAGAATGATAATTAAATAAAGTCGTCAATGGCGGGGTCTTACGAGAATCCGAGCGCGCATATTTGTCCACCGCGAACTCTTTTCAAATTTAATTACGTCATCAGTGTTTTTTGATTACGAGGATATTTAAAAAGGTAACCGTGGAGGGCAGTCGGATTGTAATTTGAAACAGTGTTTCTCAAGCTAAAAACGCGATATATCTACCCTCGACACGGATGCCAATTGATATATTATATAATATTATAATATTAAAAATTATACATATATATTATATTATATTATATATTATATACATAAATTCATAGACGGTCTAATTAAGGAAGTCCACATTTTAGCGAGAGATGAATTCATTTATTTCTACTAATGTTTTTTTTTTTGGTTTTAGTTACACACAGGTCGAGCAAAATTTTTAATGAATTTTAGAATCGAAAATCAAAAAATATTGTTCCAATATTTTGAATTTTGAAAATCTGATATTAAATTCGTAATCAATGACCCCAAAAACCCCCGGGTAATAAGTTTCAGATGAATCCGTTGAGTTTTTAAAAAATAGATCACCATATTGGTTCCACCATTTTGGATTTTGCAATTCCGACTTCAATTCTTAATCATTGTAAAAAAGATTGAATCTAGAAAACTTGAGGCGATAGAGTAAAATTTCGGATTTAGGAGATCAAAACTTAACCGGTTCTTGGTTTTAAAATTCGTCAAAATTTTGTCGATTTGTGTTATCAAAATAACGCACACATTTTTTAAAGCCATATTTCGCCATATTGAAATCGCCATTTTGAATTTGATTTTTGTAGCGATTAGAGAGATCTTAAAATGTATAATTTTATACAAATCGATATCTAGTTTCAAAATATAAGAACATATAATGAAAGTAATTAAAAAGTTCGTAAATTTTACGATATAATTTGGAGAATTTTAGAGGAATTACAAATAATTAAGAAAATTCAATTATTTTCAAAAGTAATGAAATTTTTCGCAGAAATTCAATTATTTTCAAAAGTAATAAAATTTTTCGCAGAAATTCAATTATTTTCAAAAATTTTAATACAATTCTTGGCAAAATTTCAATTATCTTTAGAAATATTAATATTCTTCTCCGAAATTCAATTATTTTTGAAAATTTTAATAAAATTCTTGTCAAAATTTCAATTATTTTCAAAAGTAATAAAATTCTTCGCAGAAATTCAATTATTTTCAAAAATTTTAATATAATTCTTGGCAAAATTTCAATTATTTTCAAACATTTTCCTCTATTAACCCATTTTCAATATTTATTATTTTAATAAAATTTTCCAAATGAATTCAATATTTAAAAAAAAATTTGATAAAATTCTACGCACACATTTAATTATTTTCATAAACTTATAAAAATTTCACAGGAATTCAATTATTTACAAATTTTTTGATAAATTTCTTCGCAATAATTCAATTATTTTCATAAATAATAAATTTTTTACAGAGATTTAAATTATTTTCGTAAATACTAAAATTTTCTTTAGGAACTCAATTATTTTCATAAACAATAAAACTCATCGCAGAATTTCAATTATTTTTAATACAATTTTAATCAAATTTTTCAAAAAATGTAATTATTTTTAAAAATTTTATTAAAATTTGTCCAAAGAATTTAATTATTTAAAAATTTGTTGATAAAATTCTTTATGAGAATTGAAACATTGAATTATTCAATGAATTATATATTTTTGTATTTAAGTAATTGAATTCTAGTAGAATTTTTTAATAAAAATAGATTTAAAATATGAATTTTAATTAAAATACTAGATAAAAATTCTGTATCAAATGAATTGAAATTTTATAAAGTTTCAATTTTGGATGAATTTAATTAAAAATTTTAAAGATCTTAAATTTTTAAAAAATTTTAATAATTCAAATTCTTCTGAAATTACTTAAATTTTTTAATTTACATTCAATTAATATTATTAAAAGGAATGAATTTATAAAAGAATTCTAGTTGAAAATACTAAAAAAAAATTTAATTTTGGAGAAGTTACAAATCATTGCAAAAATTCAATTATTTTAAAAAGTAATAAAATTATTCAAAAAAATTTAATTATTTTAAAAATTTTCGTCAAAATTCCAATTATTTTTATTAAATAATAAAATTCTTCTGAAAAATTCAATTATTTTAAAAAAATTTAATAAAATTGTTGTCAAAATTTCAAAAATGTTCCTCAATTCAATGATTTTCAATATCTACTATCATAATAGAATTTTTCAAAAGAATTCAATAATTTAAACAAAATTTTCATAAAATTCTTCTCAAGAATTCAATAATTTCAACAAAATTTTCATAAAATTCTTCTCAAGAATTCAATTATTTTCATAATATAATAAAAATTTCACAGGAATTCAATTCTATACAAATTTCTTCGCAATAATTCAATTGTTTTCATAAATAATAAAATTTTTACAAAGATTTAATTATTTTCGTAAATAATAAAACTCATCGCAGAATTTCAATTATTTTTAATACAATTTTAATCAAATTTTTCGAAAAAAAAATTCTTAAAAATTTTATTTAAATTCGTCCAAAGAATTTAATTGTTTAAAAATTTGTTCATACAATTCTTTATGAGAATTGAATTTTCAGAAACATGCCATTATTTAATAAATTGTTTTTTCTGTATTTAAATAATAATCGAATTCTAGTAGAATTTTCTAATAAAATTTGATTTAAAAATGAATTTCAGTTAAAACTTTAGATAAAAATTGAATATGAAAAGCAATATAGCGTGAATTTTAAGAAATAATTGAATTTTGAAATTAATTTTTTTGAAAAAGTTTAATTTCGGATTTTTTTTTTTAAATTATTTAAAGCTTTTATTTTCTAACATATATTTAATTGAAGAATTTACGAGTAATTGAAATTCCATAAAATTGAATATTATTAACAAATTTGAAATTTGTCAATTGTTGATTTGAAAACTGTCAAAGAACTATTTCAAAAATTATTAAAAATAATTGATTTAAAGAAGAATTTTAGTTAAAAATTCTTGAAAGTCCGAATTTTTAAATACTTACACTGGTTCGAGCCCTGCATTAATAAAGTAATTAAAAATGAAAAAACCTTGGGGTTTTTTAAAAAATTTGTTAAAATTAAAAAAAATTTTTTTTTTAAATTTTCTAATTTTACTTTTTAGTTTAAATTTTAGAAAAGCAAACAGAAGAATTTAATAAAAAGAAAATAAGTAAAAGTTATGGAAGCATAATTTTTAAAATTGTCGATTTGAAAATAATTTTAGGAAAAAAAGAATGAAAAAGTAAATATGGTGAAAAATAAAGTGACGTCTCCCGCTAAAAATGTGGACACGATGTTATAACCCCTAGGTTTATAATAGCTCAGGGTGTAAGATTGTTGAATTCAGAAAAGAAGCCATATAGAAAAATATATTCTGACTTTCCTAGAGTCAAGAAACAAAAAAAAAATTCAGGTTCAGCTCAATTTAAAAACTCTGTTGATGCGACAATTATTATTGTAATTAATAATTATATCGCTGCAATCGTTTCGTTATATTATTGAATTCCACCGCTGGTTCGGTGAATTCCTGTTTTACCTAAAATACGACTTCGATCTGTCCTTTTGAAAAAAAAAATAAATAAATACAAAACTTTAAAATGTCCAGCTTGCTGGAAAATTACGTCAATTAAAAAAAAGTAGGAGTCATCTCCGAAATATTCAGTCGATTAATTCTTCGTGTTATACAATAGCAAAAAAAAATATATATATTATAAAGTAAAAAAAAAACGCATCGTGAATTGTATTGAGTGATCAAAGCGATAGTGAGTCAAATATTGTTATTGAATTACGTCGAGAGGAAAAAAACGAGAGTTCATTGTGTACGAAAAAAGTTTCATTGTTCTTTTTCCAAAAAACAAAAATTTTTCTCTTTTTTCTAATATCGTAGTTATCAAAATCGAATCCTTTTTAAAAAAATTTTTTTAAAATAAACTCTAAGTAAATTTAAGTTTTTAGTAGAAAAAAAATTCTTTTTTTTTTTTTTTAAATTTGTTGAAAGTCAAAATACGAATGTTAGAAACAAATAAAATTTGTTGGCGAAGAAAGAAAAAATTTTTTGGCTCAGTAGCGCTCAAGATTCTCGTTTACTTCTTACGCTTTGAGAAACACTGCTAGGAAAGTTTAAACAAACAAAAAAAATGTTGTGAATGAAAAAAAAGAAAGTCGAGGGAAGAAAAACAAAAAAAAGAAACTATTGCGAATCACTTAAACTGAAAAATTATTATAAATCGGTATCTTAATCTATAAATGTTGGCTATTGTTAAATGTTAAATATTGTTCGGCAGGGT